CCTACTGCACCTATTGGTTTTGTGGGAGCCTAGGCAGTTTGGATGCTCACCTTACTAGACCTGGATGGAGGTGGGTGGTCCTTGGACTTCCCACAGGGCAGGGAACCCTGATTGCTCTTTGGGCTGATGAGGGAGGGGGACTTGATTGGGGGAGGGGGAGGGAAAGGGGAGGTGGCGGTGGGGAAGAGACAGAAATCTTTAATAAATAAATAAATAAATAAATAAATAAATAAATAAATGGCTGAATTGTTTAAAAACACTCAATTAGCTGATGACTTCAGTATACTTTGCTTTCCCTGACACAATTAAAGGACTATTCGGACATTTTTATTTTCTTAATAATGATATCAAACTATCATATAAAATTTAAGTCAATCTATTAGTAAATTAAGCATGTTTATATATTTCAGACCCTAATACACAACTAAATATCAACTGGAGTATTTTAAATATTAATATTTTGTCTAAGAAAAATAAAAACATTTTGAAATCAAGCGGTTGCACACCCCTCTGAATATTGTTATTGACACTGGATGCTAAAGATCCTAGCCAGCAAGCGGATTTTTTTTTTTTGTTTTCCTTTTCATGTGAGGGCAGGGTTTCAAGACAGGGTTTCTCTGTAGCTCTGTCCTGTAACTCACTCGCTGTAGACCAGGCTGACCTCACACTCACAGGAATCCTCCTGCCTCTGCCTCCCAAATGCTGGGATTAAAGGTGTGTGCTGCCACCAGCACCTGGTCAGCAAGCAGATTCAAACTTGAATGCGTTTCAACATTTTCTCCCAAAGTATGGAAAACTTTGCTTAAAATTAAGTTTTAAAACTATTTTTAAGAACAAAGGAAATATTTCTGTTCAATTACAAATAGAATAACCATGTTGTGGAGGCGGTCAGCTTGATTCCTGAACAAAAGACGGCATTTTGCAGACTGAAAAGTCCTGTTACACACGTTATTTTTCCTTGAATCCACCATTTTTGTAACTTTCTGTGAAGTGATTTTTCTAGTGATTTGGAGTATTTACCTGTATATGATACTGTTATTACCCCCTTAGCAAAAGTAAGCCTTAACAACTGAGTCGTGCTTACGTAACACTTCCTGTTTGGTTCAGTTCTGCCGTTAAATCACTCTTGTTTCTTCTAAATCACGTGACTCATCCTTCTGTGCTTCAAAAGTTTTCTGAAGACTCTTTTTTCCCTCTTCGACTAACAGTGCAGTGTGTACAGCTTACTGAAGGGTGCAGTGTGTGTGTGCACTTGCCGTGTGTACAGCTTACTGAAGGGTGCAGTGTGTGTGTGCACTTGCCGTGTGTACAGCTTACTGAAGGGTGCCGTGTGTAAGCGCTTCCTTGGTTAACGTTATTCTGGAATCATCTGCAACAGAAAAGAACCGAAGGATACTTCAGTCATTTTCATTTGTCTTTGCTGTTGTCTTAAACGATGTTTGGTTTACTTTTTAGGTTTCCTACAAGGATTGTTCAAAAGGTAAGACTGAGAAAGCAATCAATAACTCTTTCAGCCAAGCATAATTGTAATAGACATTCATGTCAAGAGAAGTTAAAATGAGAATATAGTTAAGTCCAAGCTGTGAATCTGCTTGTGCTATCCTGACATCTCAGCACAGCCATGTTTCCTTAGCTCATTAGACAAACCTAGTCACGACAGAGGCAGTGTAGGCAAGTTTCATATCCCTGTGAGTCCCCAAAGTTCTGTTTCTTATTCCCTCAATACATTTATTAGGATTTAGTCAAATGTAACTGAAGAAGTTGAAACACAACTGAAAAGTGCGCTAAGTGTCATGGTACCTAAGTCCTTCGGAAACTGAAAGGGAGGAGTGATGGCACCAGCAAAGAAATACTACAGTTCAATCACAAGTGATTCAAGCTGTAGCTTGTTAAGAGGCAGTCAATCACTGACCATAGGATGTGGGTGTGCCAGCATTCCAAGTGATCAACAACAATCCGATATTTTCAATTTCTGGGCTTTTATTTTAGACTTAAATCTTGAGCATACTTAATTTGTTATCACCACATGAATTCCATAATGATTTCCCAAACTGTAATTATAAGCTTAATACAACCAAGCAAATTAAAAAAAAAATCTCCCCCATAGAAACATACCTTTTGAATGGAACTAAGTAAGAATATTGGTGTTTATATGCAAAAAGAAACCTACCTTATATATGGATTCTTAAACCACAACTATTATATATACATTTTTATTGAACATTCCAAAACCATTAATATTTCCATAAAGGCACCCGCTAGTCTAACCACAGTTTCCTCTTAAACTATACTTTTCCATAAAATGCCTTTTTTATAAATAAAGTGTCTAAGTCAGTCTTACTTTTTTAAAAAAAAAAAATCAAGCCCTAAAATTACTAGTTGAGTTCTCTCTAAGTTTGGTCAGCTTTCCAAAGAACCCAGGAAGCAGTAGCCACCTCTCCATCTTCCTAGGTCAGCACTTGCGCAAATCTTTAAAATTAAACGTGACAGAAATGCTTTTTATGAAACCTGACTCCTACATAATTCTTGTTGCAATTGTCTGGCATACATATCAGCTGTCGTTAAGTTGATTCCTCCACTTATTCTGCCTATTTTTAATGTTTTTTTTTTTCCCATACCAAACTTCCTGGAAAAGAGCCTATTTGTTACTGATCTTAAAAAATTTTAGGGACTCAAAAAGTATTTTTCATGTTTTATGATTATATAATCCAGAAAGGGCTGCATGATAAAAACATGATTCATTTTAGAACATTCTAATCTGGTCCAAATTCGTGACATTAGGCAGGAAAATGTCCCTCATTGTCACATAAAGAGAAGTAGACTCAGTTTTTAGAAGTTCTGTTCCTTTAGTTAACAGAGACATATTGTTTATCGCGTTTATTGAACTAGCAGTTGTCATTTGCAGATGTGAAAATCGAAAGGAATCAACTCATTAGAGATACTAATTTTTTTTTCAAAACCTAATATGGCACGAGCACCAGATTTAACTCTGCTCCTGCCGTTATTATCACAGCTTAGTTATCTTTTCTATCATAGTGTGCTTAACTAGGGCACGCAGGATCTTTAAGTCATACACAGGCTTGATGTGTAACCCAGATGATTTGCTAGAACAGGTGAATTTTGATACAGAGATTTTTTTTCAAAAGTATTTATGCAGAATAAGGGGTGATAATCTGAAAGGTAAATGATGATATTCTTTAGAATACACTCATTTTAGCAACCTCAATACACTTTTTGTTCATAAATAAATCAAGTGGGGTTTTGCTCTCTGGGGTCTTTGTGTGGGAAACTCAATAAAGTTGAACAGTCTCCCCCAGGATCGCATCATAATCCTAGGAATTTAGGAACTGATAATCTGTCAAAAGAAATGAGGAGACTGAGAGGGCAAGACCAACCTGGCTTTTCTAGGTAAACCCTAAATAGAATCACAAGGTCCCTTAAAAGATGTCCTGCTAAATGACAATGGAGAGGAAGGGATGTGTCCCAGGAGGGAAAATTGAAATGTAACTAGCAGTCAGGAAATGCTGGCAGCCCAGAAACTGGAAAACAAAAAACAAACAAACAAACAAACAAAAAAACAAAAAGAAAAACAATGCCCCTCCTAATGTCTTGGCTTTAGCCCTTTAAGGCTGACTTTGAAATTTTAACCTCCAGAACTGCAGGAAGATAAATTTCTGTTGGTACTAAAGTCTAAGTAATTTGTTATAACATCTACAGGAAGCAAGGCTTCTGTGATTTGAGGAAATACATACCCAGGTTTGCAAAATTTCATTTTGAAGCACCCCCGAATAAAATAATTTTTCACTGAAGGTGATATTCTGTGTTTTAAGGAATTGTGCAATCTTTAATGAGAGACCTCAATCACTAGTGAATATATCTTTTCATTTCTTTTACTAAGTTGAAGGGAAACTTCACTTTACTAATTGTTATGTTTGGTAGCCAATGCTTTTGAAATACAAAATGCAAGAATCTTGCAGACATCAGCTACTAGGTTTATTATCTACCTGAAAGGAAAAAGAGGCAGAAAACAAAAGACCACAAAAAATAAAATTATATAAAAACTTTCATTTTGCTTAAGTTTATGAGGCTATATGTTAAATGCTTCCAAATTAAGAAAACACTTAATATTTGTTGATGACTTATTTAGTTAATTAAGTCACTACCTATGACAACACAACATGTAGTTGTCCTTAGATATGAAAACACCTTTATTCTTGTGATCCCTTGAAACAGCTCAGGGTCCAGTTCATCTTTCCTGACTGATTAGAACAAGAATATTAAAAAGGCAAAAACAAAAGAACAATGGAAAAAGAAGACTCCTCGATATGATTTACATTTAAAGATGCATTTAGAATTTCCTTCTCTTTTACCAAGTCGCCCAATCACGAACCTCAGCTGTCTGTCCAGTGACTACTTCACTGGTCATTTAGAAAGTCGGTCTCTGTTCTAAGTGTTGTAATGGCTACAGGATCATGGTGGTGTCCTAAGTCTTAAGGCGTACTTATCGCCCTGTGAAGGACCACGTAGTACACATGCAACACAGTCAATGAAATCATGGATACACATACATAGATATCAGAACATTTCTGGAGGATGTGGATAGTACTGGGTTGGCTGTGTGCAGAGTGAAGTAACTGTCGGTTTAAAGAAAGAACTGTGGTCTGTGGGGCATGGGAAAATGGGTACCGTGGGCTCATCTTCACAAGGTCTTTCTTGTGCTCAGAGATGCTTTCCTAGGCTTATTTGGGCTCTGTGTTTAATGGTTTTCTAAAAAATAATTATTTTCCTATATACTCTTTACAAAGTTATTCTCCAGAATAGTCAGAGATTGAACACAATTCATTTCCTTTGCTTGGATCTTGAAAGCAGCTACTCAGGGTTAATAAGACACTACTTCCTTATGGTTTTCAGAGGGAACGAACAACACGGCACACCTTCGATGCTATTGTTTTTAAATGTAAAACCAAACAAAATGACAACAAAGGCAACAACTCCGAAACTTTAGATCTTTGAATCTTCTTTCATACAGTCAGATCACATCTACAGGCATGTCCAGGAGACGATGGACCGCATCAGCTGTCACACAGCAACTTCCCATATTCTTTAACCGTTCATGAACAGTGCTCCAAATCGCCAAAAGTTACACAAGTTCCCAGTTTCCCTTAGCAAGCTGAAGCTCACTCTTCATTTGTCAATGTGCATAAAAGCTGCTTATAGCAAGGCATGGTGTAAGCTATTTCTTAAGCAATAAATGGTTTGAGTCATCTATTTTGTCCTGAAATGCTATCTGTAGTTAACTGCATTGCTTATAAATGGTCATAGTAAATTCAGCATGAAAGAGAATATTACAGAAAAGACAGCAGCAGAAGCATTAGCATTATCTAATATTTATATATGTTATCAACAGAACACAGCCGTGAAACATTTAAATGCATATCAATGGGTACCATGTCTAAAAATTACTATAGTACCTATTTAGTGTAGTGGATATTTTTCTTAAAGAGTGCTTGCTGTAACTAGAACAGCGTAATATGTGATTTAGTACAGTTAATTCTTATTGATTAAATAATGTATTTATGTACTGAAGATAGTGAAAGGAGACAGGTATTTTTTTTCTCTTTTTGCTTCATTGTGATCCCAGATTTAACACTTAAATGAAGATTCCAAAGGATCATGACATGTCATTATTTAACTGAAATGGGCATTGACATATTTAAAAGATAGTATTCGTACTGAAACAGCAAGATGGCACCGGGTACATGTAATGCTACTGGCCTATGACTCAATTGGAGCCAGAGTCCAAAATTGTGCCGCTCATTTACAGTAACGGTGATTACTCAAATTCAGAAAGAATTGCCCAAATATATGCTTACCCTTCACAAGTCATGTGTAAAGCAAAATGGAACAGAAAGAACAGCAAATGTAATTGCTAAATACTTTGCTTTTTTACAAGAGCTGCAAAACAGTCATTTCTAACATTAAACTGCCATTTACAGTAGTTTGTACACCTGCAAAGACTTCAGTAATGATGGGGAAATGCCCAAGGCAAATGGTCTCCAAGTAGATATTTACATATGTGAAATCAAATGTACCGTAGATACCGAGAAAATTATCTTATGTTATTATGAATTCGAACAAACATGATATAGCTTCATCATACAGAAAACCCGTAGGACCCCATCCCAAGCCTAAGTAAAAAGGAATCCCCAGTTCCCTCTGCCCGTTCACCCACCATCTTCCTCTAACAAAGAATGAATGTCTAAATTATTCCCACCCACCCTCAAATAAAGTGCGCAGTCCATGGCAGACCATAGAATAATGCAACAGGAAAAGCCCCTTTTTGTATTATTATTTTAAAAATAAAATACAAACAACAAAAATAAAACAAAGATTGAAGAGAATTCGGTGATTCTCTCAATCTTGAAAAACAAAACAGGCGAAGCGCGGGGTGCCCTGCTTGACTGTCTCTCCTTTCAGTACACGTAGCCCTCGTTGTAGGGGTGGGGGTTGCAGCAGCCCCCTTCCGGCATGTAGGCCATGCTTTCGTCAAAGTGAGACAGAGGCACCGTGTCCTCCTCGTTGATGTGACGTTCCATGTCCGTCTTCAGCAGTGGGCGCTGGTTATCCGGAAAGGCCATGGAGAAAAGGGCTTCCGGGTCACACACAAATTTGTAGACGTATCTCTCTCCAGCCACCTGAGAATGGCATGGGAAAGCCCAGCGTCACCGTCCCCACGTGGGTAGGGGAGAGAAACAAACACAGATTAAGACAACAGCAGGGATGGAGGGCAAAGGAGAACATTTGACTAAACAACAGATTACATTTTCACGGGGAAAGGTTTTAACTTTGTGAAGTAAGCCGTGGTTCAATCAAGGGAATCACGAAATGTTGACCTAGAGTAATAATTAATTTATTCTACAAATAGCTAGGAAACTCAGCAGTTTTGCTTTTCCCTTTTTAAAATAAAGGGGTACTTATGCTGCCATTTGAGGAAGAAAATCAATGCGATGCAAGCAATTCACATTGAAGGGTTTGTCTTAAAGGTAACATCTTTGCTTTTAAAAAATGTCTTTAAGGTTTATCTTCCCCTATTATATTTCTACAACTTGCAAGTTTTAAAAGGAGAATGTGCTTTATCCCTAATAAGATGAAACTAGTGATCACTAATTCCCAAGATGCACTGCTTCTTCTCCTCCATCTTTCCCCTGGCACCATGTAGTCTCATCTGAAAAAAACCCCAAAGATACATAGCCTTATTTAAATGAAGGATGGAGCAAGAGGACATTATCCTGAGCACATCACTTTTTAAAATGAAGGCAAGATACATTAGATGAAGCTTAAGGATGTGTGTAAAGTGTCAAATTGAAGTAAGAGGCGTAAAAAAAAGTGAAAGGAGTCTAAAATACACACTGGGAAGGGAGGAAATGAGAAAAGGAAATGTGACAACTGCCTGGAATAAAGGAGGCATAGCATAATTTGTGGAGAAAGACATGCCCCAAACTTAAGTTTTGAAGAGTAATGCTTCTGTAGAAAATGATAAACAATTGAAGGAGACAGATAGATGTACCTGCCACTAATAGGCAATGCTGAGGAACTCAAGACCCAGATGCGGTGGGGAACAAAGGCAGTTCCCTGTGCTAACTTTGGTGTGTGTGTGTGTGTGTAGTTCACAATTTCAGAAAGCTGAAAAATATTGACTGTCTTGTTTCTATGTCCAAAGATCTTGCTAGTTGATTTGTAACATGGGGAAACAGTGTGCTCACAGTTTATAAATTCTCTGTCCATGTTTGGGAGAGGGGGAATGACTGCCAAGGAGCTCTGCTGCTCTGGACTCAGAGTTAGAATATCTGCTGCCCTGAATTTAAGTAAAAGGATCCACATCAGTGTCCAAATAATCTGGCTATGCAGAGGTTTAAAAGAGCTAACACTAAGCAGTGTTTATGAATCTGGACATGTTTCTTAAACTGCCCTTCAGTTCCTTGTCTTGTGAAACGGAGACAGGAAGGGCTCCCTGGAAGACCAGCTGTGGCACATGGAGGGAAGTCTCTAGCCCAGCGCAAGCAGAAGGGGGGCATCGAGCTTAATGCTCTTCCTTTAGTGCTCACTACAAATTAAAAAAGACAAACAGGTAAACTAGTGAAATGACTGCAAAACTGAAAAGCAGGCAGCACCAAACAAACGCTGAGCGAAGATACATCTTAGCTTTGCTTCCTTTCCTCTTTATTTGTCAAAGTATTTTCAGAAAATGAAAGTAAAATAAATGCTTTATTCTGCATGCCTCTGAGTGTTTTATAGCCCACTGTGTTTAGTTTGGGGCTGCAGAAAAAGAATTGTTTGCCTTGGGTACTGGACCTGTCATTTTGCCCGATGTGTTGAGGTTGTCTTTACTGGGAAGCAATGTAATAAATGAGAAGCATTTCATCATGCGGAATTTAAATGCACAAGATGCCATCGAAATTATAAAATCTCCTAGGGACTTCTGCCTCTGCTTCCTTCTAGTTTTCTCTGAATAAACATTTTTAGTGCTACTACTGTATTTATCGCACTGTTAGATATTGCTGAGTTTAAAATAGGAGCTGACACACAGACAAAGTAAATGATGCCTTCCTTTGTTAGGGATACAATTGCAGGGTGAGAAATCCTGCATATTAGGTAAAATCTAAATGTAACAGTGAGATGGAAAAGCACAGGGATTCTGTGAAGGGATGTATCAGAAGGAAATGGGGAGGTGGGTGTGTTGCCAAAGCCTAGAAACATATTGTAATTACACTTCCATTTTTAAAATTTTAAGAAAGCTCAGCAAGTAAAGACACTGGCCTCCAAGTCTGACAACTTGAGTTCCATCCCTGGGACCCACAGAGGGGCAAGCCAGGCCTAAGGACCCCAAGCTGTCATCTGACTTGCACACATATACTGATGGTACACACACAAAAACACACAGGAAACATAGTAATTTTTCAAAATTTGAAGGAGAGGGAATGGGGGCATATTTGACCCAAACAAAGCATCTCTGTATATAATTATTAAATAAAATAAATAAAATCGCAAACGTAAATGGTAAAGCAAAGAGAAGCAAATATATCATGAGGAATATAAACATTACTACATTAGTAAATATTTTTATAAGTATTGCTAATTTTTTAACTAGATGTGAAGATATTTTATCTACAAAGTACAAGAATCTTTCCAATACAACTTATTTCTATTTCATGATTACTGAAATTAATTACACTTAAAATGTTTTACTTGTATTAATGCTTTCAGTTATTTGTATTTTATTCTCCAGACTTCTAGCTTAATTGTGCTTTACATACATCACAAAGGCCTAATTAAAATTTTAAGCCAGTGAATAAATATCGTCATACAAACTTGGAATTCCCCATTATGTGTTTGTGTGTAATAAGGAGGGGAGTCACAGAGTTCTTCTGAATAAACTATGCTACAATATACTTAAGCATGAGAAGTGGCTCTTGGAACAGTGGGGAAATGACTGTACATGTTTGAATGTTAGTACTTGCTAACATGATAAGAGACCCTGGTTTGTTGCTGCGTATATGCAGAGTACAATCTCCACATGCTGGTGTGGTACACAACCTGGCTTTCGTGTGCCAAACAGTGGCATCCAAAGAGTCTGTTCTGTGGAGCACTTCCATCCACCTGCAAGGCCTAGAGAAGCTGTAAAGCACCCACGGCTGAAGGAAATAATAACAAATATTCAAATGTTTTATCTTTATATATTCATTTATTCATGGCCTCCTTTATGTTATATATTAAGAACATTTTATCTTTATCCATGTTTTTGTCTTTTACACCAAACAAATTTTAAATATTAAAAGAAGCTCATTTGAATTAAAATATATTGAACTTTGTTCTACTAACCAAATGAGATGAAACATTTATTACAAGTAAGTGGTTTGGGATATTAAACTGTCAAGTGATGAAATCAGGCAAGATATGGAGCAAGAAAAAAAAGTGTTTTGCTTCTTTTTCTAGTAAGAACAAGAGATGTTTTAAGAATCAGAACAAAAAGAAAAAAGAAAAGAAAGAGACAAGAATTTAAAAAATGTGTGGCTGTGGGGCACAGTAAAATTACAGCTTCTAGAGACATGCAGATCTACTACTGATACTGAAATAACTTTTTATTACCACGTGTAATAAAGTGGAATCTGCAGAAAGCCTGCCCCTTGATAGATACTACTATACATTTATCTGCAGTGTCCATGACTTTTCAGACAGACCTGTGATGCTCCAAGCAGGAGTCAAGCATCTACGGGTGGAAGCCTGGCTGGAGCAAGGCAGCGCTACTGTGATTGTAAGAACTGACTTAGAGACCGGTGGTGGGCACATCTCAGTGAGTTTGAACATAATATCATCTCACCTTCTGCATGATTCCCTTCTCATAGTAATAGCGGAGAGAACGGCTAAGTTTGTCATAGTTCATAGCTGGCCTGTTCTTCTGAATGCCCCAACGCCGGGCCACCTGCCATCAAAACAGGTTCACATTGTTAGAGTTCAGCCTCCATCAGTCACATTGTTCAGGGTTAGTGGCATGTGCATGTGCACACACACACACACACACACACACACACACACACACACATTTATCAACGTATGACATTTCAACCCACAAAACCATGTCCAAATCCAAGGCATAAGTAAAACAGCCTCCTCCATGATCTGACTTTCCTGGGTCCTGCTTTAAACCAGGCATGCGGTCCTCTTTTCTAAATGTCACAATAGAAGTCTTTGTCACCATTGTTTTGAGCAGAAGTTAAATGGAAATAAGGGAATATATTTACACCAGGAAAGAACAGGCTGCAATTGACCAAAACAAGGCATATTTTCCCTTCTGCAATACACTATCAGTCTTTTCCTTCCTGAACTTTCAGACAAAAATTCCAATTAAGAACTGCTTAATAATTCCTTTGTAAAGGTGTTTTATTACATTTGTGACAAGAAGAAGAAGAAGAAGAAGAAGAAGAAGAAGAAGAAGAAGAAGAAGAAGAAGAAGAAGAAGAAGAAGAAGAAGAAGAAGAAGAAGAAGAAGGAAAGCCCCTGCTCAGATTGTGCAGAAGAAAGAACAGCTTGGTAGTGTGGCTGCCGAGGAAACAGTATGCCGATTGTTAAACTAAACTACAAATAATTGTTATTGTCGAAAGTGGCCTCTGAAGAAAACTAGAGCTAACTCCAAACTGGAAAATTAAACTCATTTAGGAAACATTAATTGGAAGCTAAAAATAATGTGGAAGTGGAAAAAAACACCATATATGCGAGTCTCTCTCTTTCTCTCTTTCTTCCTTCCTTCCTTTCTTCCTTCCTTCCTTCCTTCCTTCCTTCCTTCCTTCCTTCCTTCCTTTCTTTCTTTCTTTCTTTCTTTCTTTCTTTCTTTCTTTCTTTCTTTNCCTTCCTTCCTTCCTTCCTTCCTTCCTTCCTTTCTTTCTTTCTTTCTTTCTTTCTTTCTTTCTTTCTTTCTTTCTTTCTTTCTTTCTTTCTTTCTCAGAATGCCCAGTGTTTAGTAAAGATCTTGGAAGTGTTTAATGTGTTGCCGTGGTGGACCACTGGGTCTGCCCAAGGCAGAGCTCTCAGCAGAGCTTTGGAAACACTTCTTCCCAATGGTGGTGCCATTCCACCTCCGTGTCACACTGGACTGACAGATGCATACACAGAGAGAAGCCTGCATCTTTGACTGCAGTAGAAGTCATGAACTCATTAATCCACACTCTTTTGTAGGCTGAGTAAAAGAAATCATACACAGCCTAAGCAAGCTTAGGAGAGCATTCTCTAACAGACGGTGATCCATTGTTTCCATGAAATTACAAGTTGTTGTGTCCCATACAGTAAAAAAAAAAAAAAAAAATCCTCAAAGCCACCTCTCTGCTCCTCTTCTCTTCATTAGCCACAGCCTTTCTGTTGTCCCCCTGCCCCTTTAAAACCAATGATCCTTACTATTCTTTCTATCACTAATTTGTATTCTTGGAATAAACATAAAGGGGTCTTTAATCATATCAGTTGGTATACTATTTTGTGAGTAACGTTGTGGTGATATTTTTTATGATCTAACAAATGAAGCTTTCTTGAAGACCAGAGTGCAAAAGTAGCCATAGTAGTCAGTCATACAGGTCAGGCAGTGGTGGCACACACCTTTAACCCCATACTAGTTAGCCATAGAGGCCAGGCAGTAGTGGTGCATGCCTTTAATATAACAGCTGACAGAAGACTGATCTGCAAAATATACAAAGAACTCAAGAAACTAGACATCAAAAGAACAAATCATCTAATAAAAAATGGGGTACAGACCTAAAATGAGAACTCTTAACAGATGAATCTTAAATGGACAAAAGACACTTAAGCCATCAGGCAAATACAAATCAAAACAACTCTAAGATCCCATCTCATACCTGTCAAAACGGCCAAGATCAAAAACACTGATGACAATTTATGCTGGATAGGATGTGGAGTAAGCAGGACACTCCCCCATTGCTAGTGGGAGTGCAAACTTTTACTGCCCCTTTGGAAATCAGTACAGCAATTTCTTAGAAAATTAGAAATCAGTCTACCTCAATTCCTGGCAATACCACTCTTACCCAAAGGATGTTCAATCACACCACAAGAACATTTGCTCAACCATGTTCATAGCAGCATTATTCATAATATCCAGAACCTGGAAACAACCTAGATGCCCCTTACTTGAAGAATGGATTAAAAAAAATGTGGTACATTTACACAATGGAGTACTACACAGCGGTAAAAAAATAAAGACATCTTAAAATTTGAAGGCAAATTAATGGATGTATATATAAAAAAATGAGCGAGGTAACCTAAACCCAGAAAGACAAATATGATATGTATTTACTCATAAGTGACTTTTAGACATAAAGTAGTGAATAATCAGCCTACAGTCTACAACGCCAGAAAACTTGGACAACAAAGAAGGCCTTAAGAGAGAAATACATGGAACCACCTAGAAAGGAGAAAAAGACAAGATCTCCTGAGTATAGTGGGAGTGTGGGGAATGGGGAGGGGGGGGATGAAGGTGAAAGGCAGTGGGGAAAAAATATAGCTCAATTTTCACGAGCCATTTCCCCCCTAAAAATCATTACAAGAATCATCACCCTGGAGAGTCTGCAGGGAACCTCACACCCATGATTATGTTCTATTGAGAGAACCTGCCCCACACCCAATTAACTTATCTGTTAGCGTTTGCGCCTCACACTCCAGCTATCCAGGGAACCAGGTGTGGCAACTTGTGACTTCTTGGCCTACCTTTCCGAATGTAACCTCTTGGCCTACGTGATGAACCTGGCCTACGTGACCGGGACCACGTGGCGAGATCCCATGCCCTGCCCACCACGTCCTCATGCAGGGCTATATAAGCAGCAACCATGATCCTAATAAACGGGGGCTTTGACAAATCTGCTTGGCCTCCTTCTTCTGTCCTAGCTCATTCCCTTCCAGGTAGCGCCCCTCCGAGACCCTGGAATAACTGATTGCAGGGTGGGTTACAAACCCCTAGACTGAGTAACCCACCCAACGCAATCGACACTCAATTAAGTACAGTAAAGCATTAAAAAATACCAGCACTAGAGAGGAGTATAAGGCAGGATGAGACAGAAACTCACTCTCTTTTCAGTCTGAAGATTTCGTAGAGGTAAGAGCTCCCTAGTGGATCCCCTTTGCTTCTGGGATCTTCAGGCAAACTTCATTTGTTAGATCATAACCACATAAAGTGACATGATAGAGCAGGAACAGACTGTCCATTCAACTAGCATCCATGGGGGCAGATACGTCTTAATTTTCCACCAATTTGGCAGTAAATATTCTATGTAATAGTGAATAGAGTGGGGAAAGGTGGCAATAAGAAATAAATACAAGCCAGGCATGGTAAGAAATGCTGGTAATTCTAGCACCTGGGATTTGAGTATGAGGCTGGGGTTATGACAAGAGAATCAAGAGTTCCAGATCACTCTGGGCTATGAAACCCTGAAATGTCAAAAAGAATGGAGAGGAGAGGAAAGCAAAGGAGGGAGGGAGGGAGGGAGGGAGGGAGGGAGGGAGGGAGGGAGGGAGGGAGGGAGGGAGGGAGGGAGAGAGGGAGGGAAAGTCTCGGTTTTGTTTTTAAAATAAAATCTTTCAAACCTGTAATAGTGGCTGTCAGTGGCTCAATAGAGACGCAACTACACAGCATGCCAATCTCAGGGAACGTGAAAAGTGTTGCTAAGCAACAATGCCTGAAAACATTCACTTACAAATGAGTCTTTTTTAGAGTCTTACCAGAGTTCACTTCAAAATTAAAATGCAACCAACTTTATGGCAGCATAGGCATCTCTGAGAGAGCCATGTGATTGATAGTTGCGAATCATGTCAGAGGGGGTTGTAAGAGCTTACAACCTACAGTGCCGATTAATTCTCAGCACTATGGATTAGTAGTCTAGGATTTAAAAGGTATGCCTTTAAACTTATTCTGGTCATAACCAGTATAAAGTTAAGGGGGGAAAACACCAACAATATACCTATACATTGTAGACAAAAGACAGAAAGCATAAATAACTTTCGGGCCACCCGAAAACTGGGAAAGTCAACTTGATCCCCAAAAGCACTGATGTTATACACGGCAGCACTCAAAGCCAAAGCATGATTGTCAACATAAAGTCTCAAAGATTAGGCCAAGACTTCCAAGAACTTTCTCAGGAAGTACTTTGAAATGAGCGCTTGCCCTGTTAGGAAGAGCAGAAGGAGGGTAGCAACACGGCATTCACCCTTACTGTTAAGTACACTAAGTGAGTCAATGTAGTTGTTTAAGCATAACTTCATCCCTTTTATGACATTAGTAAATGTATCTTGGGTGCTGGGTGTTAGAACTCAAGGCCCTGTGTGTGCCAGGCAAGCACTGTATCAGTAACCTAAATCATCCAGCCCACCAACTTTCAAGGTAATGCTTGGATATGGGACAGTAAAGCTAGAATCAGGGTCTGGCTATCCAACTTCCCGGTATTCAACTAGCTTGAGCATCATCAAGTTGTTGGCATGGAATCTTGCAGGTGTCATGCTATATTAAAGAATGTTTCTGGGAATAATTCCCTAAAATAACCGATAAATTTGGAAATAATAAGCCATCATCTCAGATACCTGAGTTATGTTTGCTAACGTTATCTAAGCACACTGAGCACAAAAGCAGGCTAGAATTAGATGTTCATTCACTATCATTTTCAACTAAGAGATGAAACATGAGAGAATAAAACCTGTGAGCAGCATCACATGGTGGCTTCCAAGACATCATTCACTGACTGTGGGGGGTCAACACAGAAAGGTTTGTATGTAGCGGAGTTTTAGAGAGAGACTGTGAGCCACACAGAGAAGGAAACAATTCACAGATCCTTTCCAAACAAGAAATAGGAAAAGACAGCACAGTCATTGTCTGGTGGATATGACTGTAAGTGTGAGCTAGGTAACAATCAGAAATAGGACATAAAATTTTTAAAAAATTTAAATTTCTTCTCTCTCTTTTTTTTTTTTTTGTGTGTGTCTGGTTGATGATAGTGTCTTCATTAATTACTTTCTTTACCTCACCTTTTGAGACAGGGTCTCCCACCAAACCTGGAATATGCCGATTCAGCTAGACTAGCTAACAAGTGTGTCCCTAGGATCTTGCCGTGACTGCCTTCAGAGCACTGGGTTTAAAGGTATATGCTGCCACACCTGGCTGTTAGCATGGTTGCTGAGAACAGAAATCAAACCTTCACGCTTGTGCAAAAGCGTAGTATCTACTGAGCTGTCCTCTGAGGCCCCTAGGAAAAGATGCTGAACAAAAGCTTCGGAGACATGTAGTACCTATTACACAATTCCCACTGAGCTTGTTACCATTTGGAAAGAGTCAACTGGCTGCATTACTGGGTCCTGCTTTTGACTTCCTGCACCTGTGACAGCAAAGTCGTTGAAACGTCAGCTGTATGAAACACGTGATTGCATATCTCCCTTGCATTTAATTAATCACGAAAACTCAGGATGCTGGCACTAAGTGGCCAGCCAGTCAGATCTTCCATTCTTTTATTCAGATTCAAATGTTTAAATGCCACTGATTGTTGTATGAGAAACTTAATCACTTGTAGAATGTGGGCTCTTTGGAGTGGCTCAAATGTTCCTGACATCATTTAGTAATATGTCCTGTCTTAACAAATATGACAAAAGAAAAATGTTCTGTTTCTGCTCGGTTTATTTTAATCACAGGTGGAGGGAAATGGCTGTTTAACTGACATAAATCCCTGTTGAACTTCCCCAGTCCAACTCTTGCATGATTATTAAAACCTTCCATGAGGGAGAGCACACATTCCTGTCATGGTAAAGCGCTCTGAGATTATCCTGTTAGGCATCTTTATTCTTTGTGGCCTGCACCATATTTTGGTGGTTTTTCACTTATATTATTTAAGTACATTAACAGAAAGCCAAAGTTTCTTTAAAGCCAAATGGAGCTTTAAATACACTACAGATTTAAACAGCCAAACGTTTAGCAATGGTATTTCCCACTTCTGAGTCCTCTGTGTGTGTTTGGTGTGAAGCCAGGACTCTACTGCAAAAGCAGCCCTCTGAACAGATGTAAACTGTTGCAAACTGGGAGAGACTACTGCATTCCATGGCTTAACACCGTGAAGCAAATCCGTACTTTCACGTTGTTTTGACCTACTTTCAAATTTAGGATATGTCTATACAGTTTTAAAACTTTTTATATACCTTTCTAGCATATTAACCAAGTCCACTTACATTATAGAAAATTTTGGCTTCCTATTGGAAATCTACTCGACTAACCTCTTCAGGCTCAATCAACTTGAATTCCATGCCTCGTCCAGTCCAGGCAATGAAATGAGAATTTGAAGGGTCGTCCAGAAGAGCTACCAAAAACTGCCAAAGTTGAAGGGACCCTCGTCTCTGGTACGTGGGTCCTTCCCGGTACATTCCTGGCTCTTGCTTAATGTCCCCTAAATTAAAAAAAAAAAAAAGATATTATCAACAATATTGTTCCATTTGCATACAATTTACACCAAATCAACCATGAAGACACTTAAACACAGTCACCTCATGGGTTTTATAACGGTGCCATTAAATACAGATTTAAAATAATCAAATGTTTAGACAGAAACCATCCATCTACAGACCGTATAACAGTATGTATTCTCATTAATATAAATGTGCAACAGTAAAGAGTAAATTAATAAACATCACTTGTTTATAAAAACCTCATACAATTATCTTTCTTTCATTCACATCTTTACAACCAACGTACCTAATCACACTCCTTTGTGTTGTGACTCCAAAGACATAATCAGCTTTAAGCTCCGGGCGTTTTGCTTGTATAAATTAATTTCTACAACGTGTAATTTGTAAACGCCTTACTGACCCATACACGACAGACTACTGAAAAACTCAGAGCACATATTTCGAAGTAAATTTAGTCATGTCATGAAGTCTAAGTGGCCTGAACTTTCTATGAATTGGGGAACTCACAGCGAGTTAGAGGGGTCGACAGCTCTGACATTCCAGCTAATGTGCCTGCCTCTGGAAGCCACTGCTTTTTACTGGGCAACAAAGGAAACAGCTTGTTCTTGATGGATACAGCTACCTGCATTTTGTTAACTTAATTTAGTTTCTTAGTCTTTTGTTGTGTTTTTCAAGACAAGAGTTTTTCTATGTATCTCTGGCTGTCCTGGAACTCACTGTGTAGACCAGGCTGGCCTGGAACTTAAACATCTATCTGCTTCTGCTATCTGAGTGCTGGGATTAAAGGTAGCTGGGATTAAAGGTAGTCTCCACTGCCCAGCTTGTTGGGTTTTTTTTAAGAGAATTGTAGGAGCCAGAGAGGTCCCACAGAGCACCGAGAGAACACGGTCCACAGAATCAACCAAGCAGGGCTCATAGGGGCTCCCAGAGCCTGAGCAACCATAGGTCTACACTGGGTTATCTGCAGAAATGCTGGGGATAAGTTGAGCTTTGGGGTTTTTATTGGACTCAAACAGTGGGAGTAGGGGTGTCTCTGACTCTTTTACTTGCTCCTGGAACCCCTTTCCTCCTACTGGATTGTCTCCATCCTTGATATGAGGGATTTTGCTTAGTTTTATTGCAATCTTGTTATGTCATGGTTGGTTGGGAATAATAAAAGAGGTCTGCTCTTTTCTGAAGGGAAGGGAAATGGAGGGGCAGTAGAACTGGGTGGGGAGGACTGGGAGGAGTAGAGGGAGAAAAGATGGCAGTCAGGATGTATTTTTGAGAGAAGAATTAATAATATCAAAAAAAATCATGTATACCAGAACATTTTGTGAAATAAACATTTTAAGAAAATAAAAAGTGAGCTCTATTTCCCTGGTATGGAAAAGTATAAAACAATCTCATGAGCAAAAGTGTTAACAGTGCTTTTGTTATACAACTTGGCTTTTCAAAGCAAAAAGCCAAACCAGGACACTTAGTGTTGTGACCAATAATCCTTCCCTTCTGGCTCCAGCCACACGTCTCAGAACTACATGAGCTGGCGTGATTCACACTGCCTGTCTAATGCCTGCAGATGATTCAGGTATCTTCTTATGTTGAAGAAACAATACAGTTAAGTAGCTGTAGTCACACTAAGTGTGAACTGCATAATGAACTAAATCACAAGCTCTCTAGAGATTTCTGGCAGAAAGTATGCAGAACAACACCTCATCACATGACAAGAAAAAACAAACAAAAAAGTCATACTCAAACAACAACACAAACACACACAGCTATCCAGTTCAACAGCCACTAAAGAATCATAATATTCTTTTTTTTTTTAACCTGGAACATTTATCTTTATTTCAAAGTCAGTTTTATTTATCTCAGATGTTTCCTTCTAATATTACCATTTTTTTTTGTGGAGACAAGTGTGCAGCCATACAGACAGTGAAACCTTGTGAAATGAAGCTTCTTTGGTGTTGCCGTCTACAAATGTGACTTATTCAATTAGCTACATGCAAAAAAAAAGAAAAAAAAAGAATCCTCTCTGATGTAATTTTGTTGTCTAATACTTAGAAAGACAAAAGCTAGCTTTAAATATATATATGTATAATGAAATTACAGTATTTAAAGTCAAAGAAATCAAACCAGGACAGCAAGTTTCCTAAGCACCAACATCTTATTTTTACCATAGTTTTAAGATGATTTTCCTTCTTATATACCCTTACTAATTTTGAGATTATTTAAAATGTGAAGCTCGCAATAAATGCAAAGAACAAAGAAAGGACATTCCCAAAAGCAAATTTTAAGCCCCAGGTCAACAGAAAAAGCCAAATTTAAGGATTATGATGGCGTGCTCATAGGGTAGTTAAGAGAGCTCGCAGTTCTGAAATAGAGGTATAACTCTCCACTACAGAAGAAAGGCGAAGCAGTGCTTCCCTTTGGGGTTTCAGCTCCATGACCTTTAATAATTTAGCCCTCTTAAGGGAGGCCGAGGAAATAGATCTTCCTAAAACTCCCCATGCTTTCCAAAAACTACAAGAACAGCAAGAAGCTTGGCAGTTAAGCCCTCAAGTAACTAATTAGAATAGACTGAGCAGCAATCTGAGCATACACTTCGCTGTTTAAATAATGACAATTAAAAACTCTGAAAGCACCCAAGTCATTACAGCCGAGATCCCCAAAGTTTTTGCAATCAGCTAATCAGAGGGCCCCTGCTCATTTCCTGTTTGACAATCAAAGCAGGAAATATGGAGACCACTCCGAAGAACCAGTAAATGAATTAACCGTTCATTTTTCCTCCTAGCTTCCTTGTAAATGTCAGCTTTTGCCACGCGCATTTCAAGAACAGAAGATTCTATCTGGTTTGACGCTCTCTTCTACTATCTAGGACCCTTTCATTGTACTATCGAGAGATATTTAAAAGGTAATACTTCCCTAACTTCCTTTTAAGCAATTACGACATAATGCTACATTAGCAATGGACATCTTCCTGGGTGGGAGTGTGGGGGGCAAGCAGTCAGTAAACCCAGTGGGCAGTTATGTTGTTCTTGTGCTCCGTAATGCATCTTTTCATGAACAATAAAAAGACAGGAGGCTGCATTAGTCATCAGCGCATCCCTAGCAGCATGCTTTCTCTTCTGCTTTGTTAATTACAGGATCGGCTTTCAGTAAATCTCAAATAACAAGCTGCATGCGCTGGCTCGGCAGGGCAATGGAAAGATGCCTCGCTCTGCACGACGTGGAGCAACAATGACGTTCTTCTGTCCTGTCTCCAGAAAAGGAATGAGAGAAACAGAGGGAGGGGGAGCAAAGGGAACACCCAGTAACCTCACTGGTCCATAGTGGGTGATATAAGATGTGCACAGACACCTGCAAGTGCAAATGTTAACTGCTTTCAGCAAAGAAAAATGCAATCTGCACTCACAAAAATCAAATAATGAACCGGAGAGACACCCACCATCGAACTTCTCTGGGACAACACACGTGTCATCGTAGAACTGCCTGGGGCCCTTTTCAAACATGCAGCCTGTGGGGGGAGAGCAGGACATGGTTATTAAGGATAGAGTATGAAATCAAGCTCCCAAGTGCTTTAATCGCTAAGAGAATGGGATTCTTTGAAAACGACTCTGTAACTTTCCAGCTATTCGATATTGGAAGCATTTGTTTGGCTCTTTGCCTCAATTTCCCCATCTTTCATATGGGAACGAGAGCAACAGAGTTCTTGTGAGGACCAAATGACTTGAGTGTACTTCAATTTAGACAGGCGCCATAGTATAGACCTTACCAAAGGACTGGCAGACCCTGGCTTTACAGTGTATTGCTTTATGTTCTGGCTTCTTTTTTGTTTCATTACTTAAGAGAGAGACAGCAAAATGAACTTCCAGAATTGTCCTTGATTTCTGGTGTTGTCCCTGGCTCTCTGAAACTGAGTTAGTTTATCCTTCACTTCCTTGTCGAAAAATTTTGGGAGGCTAACCATCTCACTTTAAAACCATTTGTATTAGATTGTGTATGTATGCGTGCCTGTGTGTGTGTGTGTGTGTGTGTGTGTGAGAGAGAGAGAGAGAGAGAGAGAGAGAGAGAGAGAGAGAGAGAGAGAGAGAGTGGTGTGTGGTGTGCACACATCACAGGTGGACCTGAAGATCAGAGGACAATTTGTGGTAGTGGGCTGTCTCCTTCTGTTATGTGGATTTGGGGACTGAACTCGGCTCTCCAGGTTTGGCAGCGAGAATCTTCATTCATGGCGCCTCCGACTCACCCACTCCCCCTCTTCATTAATAGTCAAGAGAGAGAGAAAGGGGGTTTTGTTTTTGTTTTTGTTTTGTGCTGCACTAACTCAGCTTACAGAAAAAGTGAAAATAAACTGATATCTTTTAATAACCATTTTCTCTCCCATGTATACTTGACTTTACCTAATTGTCACCTTTAATTATAGGAAGAAATTTCATGCAATTTAAACATAGTTTTATTTCTAAAGTACAATGTTCTGTATGGTAGGTTTATAATATTAATAACACTAGCAATAGTAATTATATGTTTTGCTCTCAAGTATTAAAGATTTTACTGTCTTCTGTTGTCATTTAAACATCTATTAATATCATTCACATAAAGCCAAGTTAGTCCTAACTGAAAAGGGTGTAGCTAAGCGAATTTTACAGAACAAACAAGTTGTTTAAGTCATAGTTCCAGGAACCCTTCAGTGGAGATAATATCCAGATAAAATCATTTCTTGTCTAGTACTTTGTAGATGTCAAAATCTATTAGAGTAGGAGAGTTCCACTGTGGCTACCTGAAATAATAACTCCTTCTCTACACTGCTCATGTGAATCCATTCTGAATAACTGCTTTTCCGAAAGGTACAAAACCGAGGACATTGAAAGGCAAAGTCCCACCATGTTTTGCTATAAAACCGTGATTTAAGTTTATGAGGTCGTAGACAGATACTCTCCATGATATGTGTCGGTAGAGTGAAGTTAGGTGCGCACCCTCTAAGGAGCAATTTCTAGTTAAAGAGTGCCAGGTGCTGGGAGAAAAGAATGCAACTGTTTGTGTGGACAAGACTCACACTAACAAGCAAGTACAAGCTACCACGATGTCAGAGACTAGCCTTTCATTTTGAAAAGCTAGAGCGTGTTTGTGTTTATTTCGCCTTGCTAGGGACTGAACCCAAGGCCTTGGATATACTGGCCAAACACTCTGCTACTGATCATCCCCTGCCCCCAAAGGGTAATTTTTAAAATAATGTTTTAGAAACATAATGTGTTTTCTCAAAGCACACAATGACTAAGTCGATCCGAATTTGGAATGTGTGGCTATTTTTAATGTTATTTATTAGGAACTTTTAAAAATGGAGAACTTAACTTCTGTTCTGCTTGGGTGAGCCAGGAAGCCTTCTTGCCTCATGTAGATGGAGTGGCAGCTAGGCACTTCTGAAAGAAGAAGCAAAACTTGTCAGAGAGAGGCAGGTTAGAGGGCAGGACCGGTGTGGGTAGAGAGAAATGAACAGGGTCGCCAAGAGACCACTTGAGCGAGCCTGTCAGCACATAGTGGGCCTTGCCAGCGAGCCTCCAGAAACGAAAGCTCCATGGATCGCAGGGAAGGCTGGTGCTCTTCAGTCAGAGGTGAACACAGTTTTACCGACTCAGCTTTGCTGCAGCTCAGCAGTACGACACTGATGCCACACCCGTATGTCTAAGGGTGGTTGGAATTAATTGATATACCTCACACTATTCGGTCTATGTGCACTGCAAAACTCAAAGACTTAGTTACAAATAACTTCACAAATACTGAACAGGAATTACTAAGAAAAGATAGAAAAATTAAATCTCATGAGCTATCTTGAGCCTTTTTAAGGTTTTTAGCTGTTTTTCTCAGGTAACAGTATATCTGGTTTTTCATTTTTATTAAGAATTTATAGATTATGTTTAAAGCTAATGAAGAAGCAATGCGCAATAAAGAGTTTTACAATGCCTGCGCTAAGAAAAAGCCCCACCTACAGGGCCAAGGGGTCTGGAAGAGAAACCAACTTGGCTAACCATGAAGGCTGCTTCACAGTGCTAACTCAGAACTGAACATGTTGGATGATTTTGATACGGAGAAGAAAATAAAACATGGCTCAGGAGACATACCTAAATTCAAGGTCCTTATGACTATGTAAACTACTTCGCTTTGGACAAACCTTTCTTTGCCTGCATTTCTATAAAATAAGGTGTTGGGAGATGTTCCCCGACACCTATTACAGTTCACCAGTTTCCCGTGCTGAGGGAAGATTCACTCAGAATTCAGAGACCGATGCATGGCAGCCCCTCAAATTAAGAACCTTCCTGTATTTTTGGAGTCCCTTCTGAACCCTACCTATTAGCTATTTAATGCTTTGTTTTTATTTTTTTTTCTTAAAACTACTTCCTCAAAACACAAGTTTCAGATCTCCCAAACAGAGTCCTACCCTTGAACGCATAAACACTTGCTCAAGACAATTCGATCCTATGTACATTTTACTAGCTTTTTCTTAAAGCACATAAAAAAAAGAAAACTAAATTTGTGCCACAAATACGATACTTAATAGAAGAAAAAACCTTCCTTTCCACTGCTAGTAATTCAAATATACCACCCTTAACAAATGAATCTCAAAGTCCAGTCTCTTCCGATCTATCCATTCAGACACTTGTGGTAACAACAGATAAGCTATACCCTGTATCTGGCCTGTTTTTTTTTTTTTCCTTGAAGTAAAAGTTCTCATTTTCAAAGTCAGTACTTTTTGTTTGTTTCTTTCTTTGTTTGGTGTGACGACAAGCGATATATTTTTTTTTGGCCTAATGATTAATGTCAACAAAAATGAGCAATTTTTAACATAAAAATATTTTAACGCATATGGTTCTAATCTAAAGCATTGCAACAGTAAGCCATAACTCTAACAACATTTTAAAAGTATGGTTTTGGTGGCACACACCTGTAATCCCAATATTCAAGAGGCTCAAGGAAGAAAGATTGTAGATTTGAAATCATTCAGAGTTACACAGAGACAGTCTCTCAAAAACAACAACAACAAAAACACAAAGCCAAGGATGTAAGAGGCTGGGAATGTAGTTTAGTAGTACAACCCGGCCATGGGCAAAATTTCCACCATTAGAAAAATAAATTTAGCACTTATCTGAGAAAAATGTACATAAGAAGGCATAGTCTTTGTGCTGAAGACAGTGGAAAATTTGCCATCACAGATTTTTCTATAACATGATTTGCACAATTTATTAGATAATGCAAAATTCTGAGTCTATGAAGGTAGAGAGATTCTTTCCTGACAGAATTGATAATAGGCCAAATAGTCACCAATCACTTTATTCCAACCTTAAACAAATGACGAAGCTAGAAATTAATTTTTAATGTTGTTCTGATTTATTGCGAGGCAGAAGGTCTCTCAAAACAGGTGGGCCTGGAAGGGGCAGTGTTAATGACTGCAGTCGGTGTAACAGCTGCTAGGAGGCAAGCATTTTGCTGAACCCATGTTGACACCATGCCACAAAAATCCTCTTACTGAGTGTGGCACACCTGGAGTACGGCTGTAAGAACAGCTGGCGGGCTCGGAGGCTGCTGGAGGAGAAGGCAGAGGGTGACGGTTATTACATATAAGTGTGACTAACTGCGCTTTCCATCCCAGGGTGGGAGAAGAAGAAACGCAAGTATTTCTGAGGAACTCAGTATACAAGGCTAAAGGACACTTAGAGAAAGCGTTCTGATGTGGTGTAAAATTAGTGTAGCCCTGGAAATCTAGGCACAGAGTCAGAGACCTTTGTGCACAATTTGTCTAATTCTGCATCGAGAAAAACAGCTGATGTCTCTATTGTTGTTCTTATGCTGTACCGTTCCTTGAAAATTCTAGGTCTCTCTAAATAATTAAAACAGATTGTTCTGAAGTTTATTAAAATATCAGTGGCACATAATAAGACTCAGGCCAGAATTTTCATTACAGTTTTCAACAGAGCAACATGTGATTTACATTCTTAGGAAGACAGTGGGTAACAATTTATGAAGAGAATTGTGCTTTTCCAATTCCTGCCATTTATTACATGAGAGTAAATCAAATTAGCAACTAGTTTTTAAAAGCAAGGCCTTGGCTATCATTTTAAAATCCAGTCTGCCCTTAAAATAGATGTCATTTATAAAGTAGAGAGAAAACAGAAAAAAAATTAAATAAAAGAAAGGGGTAGGAGTTTTATTCACATAGAAGAACTAAAGTCATGTTATTCTAAAGTGATATCAGTTAATTTATGACTATCAGAGTGGGTCAGACTCTAATCAAATTGTAGAAACATTTCCAAAGTGATTATTCAATCAAACGACTAACATGGTTAATTAGGGGCCGTAAACATTGCTCTGAAGTTCATCAAAGTAATGACTTGCCCAGAAAAATTACCGCTAATTAAATTGCCTGCTGCTTTCATTTCTACCTTATCTAATAATAAAAAAAAGTCCAACTGGTGAGATCTGGCATTCCATTTGAACTTTTGCTAAACGTCCAATGAAGACCCAAGCTGGGCTTCACCCAAGCGGTGACTTCAAAGGCCAATGTCTGGTGACGGACAGTGGAGGTGTCACTGGGAAGATTTCCCTTTCCTGTGGAAGGAAGGACAATGCAATGGCCACAGACAGCCCACTGCGGCTTGGCCATCACAAACGTGCAGGACGGCTGGACAGACGTCCTCTAGATACACTGTCCTATCTGGCATCCTCTGGCTATGATTTTAGGATGACCAGTACAGTACAGTGATGGCTGAAAGCTACTTTGTCACCTACCAGGCACAAATTCACGTCTAAGGTCTTTCGTTTCACGGGAGTATAGCTTCCAGCAGGTTAGTTAACGGCTCTATCCTCAACCCCCTCCTCTTATAAAACGGGAGTGCTATTGATATTTTAAAACTGTAGCTAAGAGGCACATATGGAATAAGTTGTATGTATTATTTCCACTAACATATTCAGACAGAAGGAATTTAGGACCTCTTTCAATAATTTACTTGTATATATTTATTTTGTGTTCTTAAACTCCATGAACTTGTTGATTTGTTGCTTACTGGTGCAGTTATTCTAGAGTAGACTGTGTAAATCTATCTCTTAATCAATGATACCTAAAAATATATCGATTGACCAGTCATGAATTTGATTAAGCCAGAATTTCCCCCAGATATTCTGAATACTTGAGGACGCATCTTTGAACCTCATATTTTTGCCATATTAGCCCTTGTTGTTTGTTCTGAAATCACACTGGCTTAAGAAGTTTAAAAGTCAGCCTATAAATTGGATTATGTAAATTGAATTTAGGACAAAGGGTTTTTTATTGATGTAGAAACTTGTGGATCAAAGCGTTCTAAAACTCGATATTAGTGCTGACCAAATCAACGCAGAGAAATCACAGCGCCTGTAATTTGTTACAGATGAGCTCTTGTGGTGATGAAAGCTGATCTAATATGCTGGAAAAATTCAAAGCAGTGAAGTGTGCTGGTCTCTCCGGGCTTCCATGCATGGAGGTGGAATCAAGAACAAAGCAGTCTCCAACCTGCCCGCTTGGGCTCGGCTTCATGGAGGGTCACTACTGAAGGAATCAGATTTGGGTGTGATTAAGAAAGTATCACTTCACATCAAGATACATGTGCAAGAAACTTTTTTAAAAAGTGTTTTATCCTTCTTTGCCTTACAATGCAATACTGTGCTGGAAAATACAATGATGACGTGGGAAGGTTTTCCAAAAGTTTTAGCACAGAATGCAGCTTTGAATTTGCACATCTAAAATGCCAGGCACTCCTTTGATTTGCATATTTGCTGCTCAGTTGTACAAAATGAAAATTCCCCCTTTAGGGTATCATTTGTGTAAGCTTCCAAAAGCCACGCCTGACCCAGAGAGGAAAGATTAGTCATGATTGGTTAGGTGGGTTTTAGTGGTTGTTGAAACTAGTTTGTTACCAAGTAGTGTGTAAACCTGGGATTATCTCATATAACAAACCTAACAAGGAGGTTGAAAATGAAGTCTCTCCTTCATTTGATGTTCCTGGCTGGATTTCTGCAGTAATAATCAATGTATAACTTAATTCAGCATTCAAATGTCTTAAGGTAAATGAGAAATCCCAGGAAAGTAGAAGTAGTTCAAGATGGTGTCTTTGCTTACATTTGAATTAGAATGCAGAAGTTGACTGGCTGTACACTTTGACTCCCTGTAGGAGCGATGGGACTAAGTAAAATCCACATGGAGCTACTCATTCATTCATTCATTCATTCACTTTTAAAATAGGGTTCGTTGTGTCTTTTTGACTGACTGTACCCACTACTGGGACCACGAGCATGAACCACCATGCTAGTTAAGCTCTGTTCAATACATTTAGATAATGGAAGAAAGTTTAAAATGCTAAATATACAGAGTCAAAATAGTGGATTCTGTAAAACA